GAGGATGCAACTCGGGCACTCAATGCCCGATTGTTGGACCTGGAACAGGCTGTACCAGGACCAGCTGCTGGGGCTTCAAGCAGTGCACCCTCTAGCCACCAACTGGAGGACCGCGTTGACCACGTAGTGGCAATGCTTGGTGACATCAGCACTTTCGCTGCGCCGACCACCACCATCAGCAGTCAGCTGCATACATTGAAGACCGAGGTCCAGCAGCTGCAGACGACGAATGCAAATGGCAATCCGAAGATGTATAAGATGCCAACGTTCACTCTGTAGAAGTTCGACGACTACACGCAACAGGATCCGGTCCTCTGGTGGGAAGCATTCACAACGCAACTCAGGATTCTGCCCGTAGACAAGCATGCGTACATCGGCGCCCTGTTCGTGAACTCAAAGGGCGGATGCCAGACCTGGTTGACCCACCTGGCAACCTCCCACGGCGTCGACGTACCAGACTTGAAGGACGTAATCACATGGGAGGAACTGACACGGCTGTGGAAGAAGCGGTTCATTGTCGACGACGCGCCAGCACTCACCATCAACCGACTGTTCACCATGTCACAGGGCAACACAGCAACACGGGACTGGCTCACGGAGCGGCAGAAGATTGCGGCTGTGCCCAATCTGAACCTACTATTCGAGCATCTACGCCGTGAGTTCTACAACAGGTCCTGTGCTGCATTGAGCCAGGCTCTTGGTGATCGCGAGCAGTACTCAACCTTCGCGGAGATCATTGACAAAGCGAGGGAGATCATCAAGACCAACAGGTCAGCTGCACACGAGAAATCAACATCATGCCAGCCGGCCTATGTGGAGAAGGTACGAACTGGTCCGCGACAGCAGCACTTCGCTGCAGTCCAGCAGAGATAACCCAGCAGCCACTCTAGCATCAAGTGACGGAGATCAGGTGGTTGTTGTCCAGCCGCGAAGCACCAATAAGTCCCGCAACAATGGGAAGGCGAAATCCGCATCACTGGCCGGAAATGGACAGCCAGGACAGTTTCCATGGGTCAAGTTTGGCTTGACCGAGGCGGAGTACAAGGTCCACGGCCGCTACGGCTGCTGCTATTGGTGCAACAGCACCAAGCACAAGACCTCCCTGTGGCAAGATCAGGGCAAGGAGGATGTGCGACCCCGCCTCAGCTCGGGAAACTGAGCTCCGTGGAAGGTGAGGCGACTCCACCTTCTACTCCGCCAGATTCGGACGCCTTGCTAGCGGCCTCCTGCACATCTGGGGAGGATGCGAATGTCGCAAGTCCTCGGTACACTTACGAGGACTATGCTGTCCACTTGGTTCCACCGCTGGACCAACCGCTCCACGTGCAACAGTCCACCGCATGCACGGTTTCATCACCATCGGCAACCGATCCGGCAGCTTCACCGCAATCTATCGCCGGGGATTCGACGTCATGGTCAAGACTGGATGAGCTCGACCCGTTGACGTTCACGGACTTCCAGTGGATGCCCGTTCCCTCGACCGGACGATTGCCGAAACCGCAGTGCAACGTGCTTATGGCACAATTGCGGGACTACTTGCACACTGCAGTACCAACTCCGTTGATGGACGCCGGAGTAGAGGTTGTCGACCTTCACGTTTACATCGCGAAGATCGACCGCGAGTTCAAGACGCAACGGTACGACGACATCGACGCACCAGTGCTATACGTACGCATTCAGATCGGAGAGGCGACCTGCAGTGCCTTGATCGATTATGGAGCATCTCGCAACTACATCAGCCAGGACTTCATGGTACGCGCCGGCCTTGGCCCACGTGTCCGGAGGAAGTCCTAGCCTATGCAAGTCACCCTGGCAGATGGTCATACGCACAAGTCCATCGACCGGTGCATTGACGTCGTCCCATTGTACTTTGCCCCTCACGCAAGTGAGGCGGTGTCCTTTGACATTCTGGACAYCAAATTCGACATGATCTTGGGCATGTCATGGCTGCGAAGCAAGGATCACCCGGTGAACTTCTTCAACCGCACCGTTCATGTTCGTGACCGGAACGGAGTATTAGTTCCATGCACGGTGCCTCTTCCTCATTCTTCGATCAACTGCCACGTGGTATCCGCCGCAAGCATGCGAGCTTCCATCATCAGAGACAACATCGAGGAGATGGGGGTGTGTTTTCTTCACGCCCTCCCGCCACATGACGCTTCATCGACGGACTCACCATCGGATCCACGCATCACCGAACTTCTCGACGCCTACAGCGACGTGTTCGAAGGCCCGCACGGAGTAGTACCGGATCGACCCATCCGCCACGAGATCATCCTCGAGGATGGGGCCGTACCTCCGCGCGGTTGCATCTACCGAATGAGCGAGGAAGAGTTAAGTGTGCTTCGGGCACAACTCGACGACCTTCTAGAGAAAGGCTGGATTCGGCCTAGCTCATCGCCATACGGTGCTCCTGTCCTCTTCGTCCGGAAGAAGAACAAGGACCTGCGGTTGTGCATCGATTATCGCAAGCTCAACTCGCAGACGATCAGGAACGCCGTCCCTCTCCCACGCATCGACGACCTTCTAAAACGGTTGGGCGGCGCCCAGTTCTTCTCTAAGCTGGATCTCAAGTCAGGGTACCACCAACTCRAGATTCGCAAGGAGGATCGCTACAAGACCGCATTCAAGACACGGTATGGGCATTTCGAATGGTTGGTCATGCCATTTGGCCTTAGGAATGCCCCAGCCACTTTCCAAGCGGCTATGACGACGGAGTTCCGACACATGCTGGATC